GTGTGTGAGAGTGTGTGTGTGAGTGTGTGTGTGTGTGTGTGTGTGTTTCGTAGATCCAGAAATGCTACAGAAATCTGAAAACCAAATCATTTGATAAGCAAACTGTGTGTGTGAGTTCTTCAAACCATGACAAAATCCAGCAGCACAATATCTAAAGCTGACTATGCATGTTTGCAAATACACGATAAAAGTAACACACACACACACACTCTCTCTCTCTCTCACACACACACACACACACTGTGCCAGCTGTGCGGCGTCTCTAAGTCATCATCAGTGTGTGCCAAGAGCCACGTCGCCATGACAACCACTACAGAGGCCCAGGGGCCCTAACAGACAACAGACGTGTGTGTGTGTTTTTAAAGGTCACTATAATAAAAGAGAGAAACCTCCATAAACACTCATATCCACTGAGCCGCAGAGTGGAGTTAAAAATAAGGCAACTGGCTGCGTTTTGGAGTTTTCTCAACTTCAGAAGTCGCAGACTAATTTCTGAAATATAAACTGGTTGTTCACTCAAACTACCGTTTTAAGTTCACTGAAAGTTCCTCCGCGAGTAACCAGCTAACAGGGAACGTTCTCACAACTTTCACTAATGTTTTTTAAAAGTTATATAAATGTTAGGACAAAACGTTCTTAAAGTAATGTCTATGGACCGTTCTTATAACTTTATTAATATTTGATGAACGCTCTCATAAAGTTGAGAGAAAACATTGTGAGATCAAAATCCTTAAGGTGTTATTTTTACTTTAACGCTCTAAGAAATGTTTTTGTATCCTTTAAACAATGTTATAATCACAAGAAGAAAACGGGACATTTCACTTTTGAGCTACTCTTAATAAATGTAATTATTTATTTAATATCGCTGCACGGTTATTATAGTTAACTAAAAACTATATAATGAAACAAAAAACATGTTCATTATTATAAAATAATAACTAATAATAAAATAAACATTAAATGAAATAAAATAAAACATAAAAACTTTAACTTTATTTTTGCTAGTTGCCAAGACAACATTTCTCATTTTCATTTAAAGTACTAAAATATATATGTATTTATTATTAATAATTGTCATTATTTATTATTATCTATATACACATATTAAAATAAACAAATAAATAAAATGTCAAAAACACACAAAATTAAAAAATATATATTTATAAATTAAAATGAGCTGAAATGAAAAATAACCAGAAAATACAAAAATAAAATCTAATTCAAAATATTAACAAAATAATAATAGTATATTATAATACAATGATATTAAAATAACACTATATCACTATTGCTGGCGTTTCATAAAAGCAATAAACCGCTAGTGCATTACAGTGATTTTACCACAATCACGAGATCTAAGATAATGATGCTGTTCTAGATGTTGTGCCACTTCACAGTAAAATCAGCGTGAAAGCCTCAAGCAGCTTTAGTGCTATTTTTATTTAGTGTTATTATTATTATTATTAGCTATTGTTATTATTTTTATTATGCGTTAATAATCTTCAAATGAAACTAAAAACACTGAATGCTGAAACCCCGCTGAGATCTAAAGAACATGAAACCGGTCTGAATTGTTTATATTGTTGTAAAATGTAAACTATACTATCGCTCAGCTCTTATCTGCTAAATGCAACTGTAAGGCATGAAGATATTAAGATATTATAAACATTAACTGTAAAGCTGCTCTGAGTCAATGTGTATTTGCGAATACATTTGACTAGTGAATCACGAGTCCAGACTTTCTCACAGATCAGCACAAAGACAGACGCTTCCCTTTTCTAGCGGCAGCAGCAGGAACACTGGTGTTTATAGACAC